CGAAAATTATTTGCCCATATAAATATGGGTTTATTCTGGACTCTCGATTCTGTTCCACTGGTCTGTGTGTCTCTTTTGCTGCCAATACCATGTCGATTTGATTACTGTCGCTTTGTATTATAATTTGAAGTCAGGCAGACTTCAGGCCTCCAGCCTCATTCTTTTTTCTCAGGATGGCTTTGGCAATTCGGGGTCTTTTGCACTTCTATACAAATCTGATGCTTTTTTTGTTCTATTTCTTTAAAAAATGCCGATGGGATTTTGATGGGGATTGCATTTAATCTGTATAATGCTTTAGGTAATATGGTCATTTTAACTATGTTGATTCTTCTAATCCAAGAACACGTAATATCTTTTCATTTCTTTGTATCTTCTTCGATTACTTTTAATAGGTTCTTATACTTTTCATCATATAGGTTCTTCACGTTTTGTTATATTTACTCCTAGGTATTTTATTCTTTTTGCTACAATTGCAATACAAATTATTTTTCCACTTATTTGACAATTCATTATTAGAGTATAGGAATGTTTTTACCAAGTCCACCTTCCTCCTTATCTGGATCCCTGCTTTATAGTCTTAATAATGCTTTTTTTCTTATATTCAATCATAATCACTACACAGTCTTAGTCCCTGTCAGTGTGACAGTTTCGGTAGTGTTTGCTCAGATTCCCCTGGGGCTCCAAGGTGTTCGGTCTTGGAGGTATGGCAGGGAGGTGCCCTCTAGGTTGGAGGATGGCGGCTGTTGCTCAGCCTCTCCTTTTACAACCATGACTGGTAATAATTAACTGCTTCTCTGCTGTCCCCACTTCTCTGCTTTCTGCTCTGATGCCAGGGCACTGCAGGCAGCTGCATGGAGCTCACAGCTTTCCCAGGCAGGGCTGTTCAGGGAACCCTTCACCTCTTCTCCCCTCCTCCTGCAGGGAGCTCTGGCTGTGAGAGGCAGCTTGTTTCTCCTAGTCCACTGCCCAACTCCCAGGGTTCTGACCTGTGGTAGCTCTTATGTGCAGATCCCACACTCAGATGTGTTGGTGTGCAATTTGGGTGTTTTTTGTTGAGTTTTAGATGTCCAGCTTATTGTTATTTCAAGGGGAGAGATCTGGGGACATCTCTCCATCATATTTCTGATGTCACTTCTGTTTTTCAAAATTTTTAATATTTTTTCTCCCAATGATTTTATGTCATTTTCATAAAACAAAAGGTAAACATGTGAAGTTCTGGCATGATCAAGTTTAAGTAAGATTTCCAAGAAATGGAGCTCATTGTATGACCCTTCATTTGGAACACGGGACCCAACTTTGGTTTAATGACCAAAAGACATTTAATGAAGACTTTTCCCCTTTTCATTAGTAAATTGAGAATGAACATAAAACAGAAAAACAAGTAATTTATTTTATTAGGCATACATTTTCCTTTAACATTTTATTTGAACTTTTCTAACTGAAGGCTGGAAGGCCTTTAACTATCTAGCAGACAAAACATGAGTTAGTGGTTAATATATAAGCTACTTATTAAGTACCACAGGCACATTAATCATTTAATTGTAGCAAGGAACATTCAAGAACTTTGCACTTGCTACTACAGTCTATTTCAAAAATATCAGTTGGCTGGATATTTTATTTTTACAATTTCAGTCTAATGATTTTTACTAATATACCTTTTTTCTTGGAATCATTTTTCAGTGTGGAAAATGTAAAGCTTGAGTATGAATACAGCTTACCTTTTAACAAATTAATTCCATTTTGATAACTTGGACTGAGGAAAAAAGAACCAATCTGTGCCTAGAAACACTCTGCTAACATCTGTTTTCTGGGGGATGAACTACCCCTAGTCAAGAATTTTAGTAACTTTCACCATGTGTCTCAGCAAGGAAATCACAAAATTATAGACTGGGGATAAAATGTGGATGAGGTATAATAAAACAAGTCTTGTAATTCCAGTTAGAATCCAGGTGTGATACAGTGCCTTGAGCACTGGATTTGAAGACACATTTGTAATAAAATCCTAGCTCTACTTTATAGTAGCTGTACAAATTTTGGCAATTTACTTAGATAACCAGCCCATTTCCTATTCTCTAAAAACTGGGATAACAACAATCCACCTGCTCACAGGATTTTGTTGAGGATTAAATAAACCACAATATATCAAAGTACCCAGAACCATTCCTAACACGTAGCAGATGTTAAACAAGTGTGGTGAATCTAAATTTCTTTGATCTCCTTTTCTGTAAAATGGGTGGTGGGGTGAACTAGATATTCTCTAGGTCTCCTGAGACAAAAGATTCTAGGACTCATTACATCTTAATACAACATTTGGAATTCTTTTGGGGGAATGAACTGTACTACAGCAACTCACTTTAATTTGCACAACTAATACACAACAGGTCCTTGAATAATGTTTTGTTCAACATCGTTTCAGCATAATTTTGATGAGATGCCATAGAAATTTAACTCATTTTTATATCAACTAGCCTATGGTAAAATGGTTTTATTATATGTCATTTCACTTAAAGTGGCAGAACCTATTGATACCTTTAAATGAGCACCTACTGTAATATGAAAGATTTGTAGAAAGGAACTCTAAGGCCAGTATGGGCTAAGAGAAATATCCAAGTTAGAAGTCAGTATAGGAGCTAGGCCAGAAACCCATATCAATCACTGTAGATTGGATCCAGGGCTTTTCCCCACTACAGTCTACACAAGAGCCAATTTAAGACTTTATCTTGGAGCTGTTATCTATTAACCTCAGAAAATCGATAGAAAATTAGGCTGTTTGACTTTGGCATCCTATCAATTATTTTATTTTATTTTATTTATAGATAACTAGTACCCTTAGATTCTCTTCACATAGTCTGTCTAGAGGTTCAGTTCCCATAACTTTCTAAACTATAATGCAAAGTTACCTCTTATCAGAATGTATCTGTTCTATCTCCTGTGCCTGTTTCCTTTCTGTAGCAATGATTGGAAATAAATTAACCAGATAAAATAACCCAGCCCATAATGTTTACTTAAGATGATTCACCAGAAGACAGAAGATTTTAGACATTGAAGCATAGGAGTAAGGGTATAATTTTTCTCAGAAATACTTCTTAACAACTCTTTGAGTATTTGACCTTATATATTCTATCAAGTGATATAGTCACATACTTAGAAAAATATTAGATTCAGAAGAAAATTAGATTGATAAGTAACTAAAATTCAAAGTAAATGAAAAGGCACTATGATGTCTACTTTTCAAGATAGTATAGTCTGGCATGTGTTACTTTTCAATTATCAAATCACTTATCAAACTAGAAATGTGGTTTATACTAACAAGGTACAGGTTGTGGGGCTCTTGGTCTACGAACAAACTGAAAAAAAATTACATTTATAAGATAGTAAAAAAAGTAAAACTTGATGTCTATCAAAGAACAATATTTTAAAAGTCAAATCTGAAATGGCTGTTAAACAAAACTATGAGCAGTTATGTTGAGATCAGAATCGTTTATATTTCTAGATTTAAGTAAGCCGTTCTCACAATTTAAATATTTTTATTGAATTCAAAGGAACAAAAGCTACAATTTCCACCAATGGAAAAGAAAAAAATTATTTCATAGATATTTTAGTGTGTAATAATCTTTTCTATGGCTCCCCAAGATGTTCCAATATAAACAAATTTACCCTTTAAGTAGAAAGGACAAAGCATCAAGTATAAACAAAATGGAAGATTACCATATTTATTTATACCATACAGTCAAGTACCAAAAAAGTTAAATAGGTTTAACCTAAACTTAGCAAAAGAGTAATTTCTCATTTCATTAACCAGTGAAAATAATCATTTATACATGCTCTCATTTCCAGTAGGAAACACATATGAATGGGGAATATTTAGCAAAAAAAAAGTCTCCATAATTGCACTTTGAATGCCTTAGCAACAGAAAAATTTGTAAACAGATCTTCTCTTCAATAGAACTTAATGAAATACTAAAATTACTTTATGGAGCAATCATGCAGTAAGTAATAAAAAAAAATCACCTTACTTAACCTTAGATTAGTAGTATACTTGCTAAAATATAATTTGGTCACTTTCTGCATTTCAGGCTGTTATATCAGAAAATTACAGGCACGTGTTAATTAGTTCATTTTATTTGGGTAAAACAGAGAATACTTCTAGAGAGATGGAAAGTAGTACAGTTGGCCATCAAATGCTTTTCCCCAAGAATCCTGGCCTTGCAGAGTCTAGTCTTCTTTATGACCTTAGGACTTTTCTGTGCCCCCTCCCCCTATATTGTACGCCTAACTTCCACTGGACTGGAAGTTATTCGCATTGCTAGAAAAAACATTTTATTTGAACATTTATTTCTACTTCATTTCTTCCAGTTATTAAAGAGTTTTTGTTTAAGGTACAAGGGTGAACACATTTAACCATGGCTTACGGTAGTTGTAACTTGGGTTGGTTCAATTTTGTTGTTAATTTTTGTTGGTTGGTTTAAAAACGTAGGCCAAGATTCTCAAATAGCAAAGCAATCAACATTCCTATGGAAAATGTAAATGATATTAAGTCCGTATAAGTTAAATTTTTAAAATACAGTGTAACAAGGGTAGAGTAAAAATAGGAGAATTATTAAAAATGTGTTTGTTTCATTTGAAAGTATAAAAGGTTAAATTTCTCTTAATCTTAACAGTGATATATAGCAAAGAAAAAATTTTTAAATGAGTAAACCTTAATTTCTTTAATGTAGATTTCTTCTAGTTACACAGGAAAATTATTAATGAACAACTATTTTAAATATAAGGAATTTAAATAGTCATTAGATTACTAGGTAAAAATTCCAATAATAATCTAAATTTAAAAGCTGATGAACACAGATTAAAAGTTACCTGCATTTCTGCTTGAACAGCAAAAACAAAACATAAAACAAAAAACAGCATTGTCTACTATATGACACCAAATGAGGTGTTTCTGGCTATGTAAACATGTTAAGTAAACATGTTTTCCCCGCTTTAATTTTTAGGCTTCACATGTGAATGCAGACAGAGATTTAAAACTACTTTACATTAAAAAGAAACTGAAACCTTTATTCTATACTTTATTCTCTATAAAGTACTTTATTTCTGTAGTACTTCGGGCTAGATTTTGATGTAAATTTTGAGGAAGATGTTTCATATACAACGAGTTAAGACAGCGACAAAAAAAAATGTTCCTCACACTTTTCAACATAACATACAAAACTGTAAAACCTGTCAATATGGAAACTCTCTGGAATTTCTTAAAGTATCGGAAAGTACAACATAGCAAAAGAAAGCATATATAAATAATGTTTAAGGACTCTGTAATAGAATACATGGTGTTCTTAGTGTAACTGGAGTGCAACTATTTATGTACACACACAAAATATTTCAGAAGCGGGTGAAGTAAACGAAACCACCAGTTCTTTAAATTACACTTGATCACGTAGATGAGCAAGTCTCTGTGATAGTTCATCCTGGAGAAAGCAAATTTTAAAAGTCACAAGGCTGTGACAAATATAAATCACTAATATTTTAAATAAACTCTTGTCTCAAAAATTCACACAAAAATCAAAATTAAGAATTCAGTGTTTTAAACATTTCAGAATAAATGGAGAACTTAATAGAGCAGAAGCTATGAAGGGGAGCAAATTCAATCTCTAAATGAAATGTGCATGCAAACAGAAAATGTCCATCATTGAGTAGTTAAAGGCTAACCACATTTTGCTAATTTATGATGTCATATTATAGTAATAACTCTATAAAAGAAAAAATTATAAATATACTTATTTATATATACATATACATATATATTACCTGTTCCATGGAAGCAACACTTATGCCAACAGATCCTGTCTGACCCTGTGGTAGCTCCATATTGAGATCGAGGCTACAATTTAAAAATAATTAGCATAAATGTATATCAATATAGGCATTTTCTTCCTTATGTAATTATAAGCCTTATTGCAAATTGCAAATTATAAAATAGCCTTATTGCAAATTTGAATATTCCACCTAGCATTTTTTCTTAATTTAAATAATGAAACTGGTTAAATTTTATAAATGTAAATAGCGCTTAAACATCTTTTGAATGTCCACCTTAGGAAAAATGAATTTACTACTTTTAAAGCATTTATTTGAGCCCTAATGGTGACCCACGTATGTGATAAGGTTACGACAGAAAAACTAGTAAAAGACAGGAAAATGATCTGGTTGTCTGAACAAAAGACCAAAATAAAAGTCATCTGATGTTTTCAATTTACTGGAGGTTACTATATGACTCCTACTGTAAAGTAAAATTAATATGCCAAATAAAGATAACAGACTAGATGAATACAGCCTCAAGATCCATATCTAACATTCGAGCTAACTTCGAATTCAGTGTGTCTAGCTCCTGAGCTACCCTTAGTAAGAACAATTACTTATACCCACTCATACAACTGAGGTTTAGAAAAGTATACTTGCCCAAGATCACCCTAGTGATGGATAAGATTTAAACCCAAGTTTGTCTTGCCTCTAAATCCTCTGATTTTTATTTCCATTATAACTACTCCTCTAGAATATAAAGTGGCCTTTCTGCCTGTCTCTAGACCAGTGCATGCCAACTTCAGTTTGAAACACTACAGGGAATACAGTAACTTTAACAGTCAATAGGAGAGTCTACAGACAGATTGTTATTTTAAAAGTAAAGATATGCTATCCTAAAATTTTGAGGGAATTACAAACTCAAACAGAATTCAGATACTTAAACGTCTTTAAGAACAGGCATCGGTATTTCGACATCTGTGATTCTACCTGTTTCTACTGCTCCAGTCACCACCCTTTATTGACATAACTAACCTCTCTAGAGTTTGGCCCCCAACTCCTCCACGGCCCCAGGAACATTTGGCAGTGTCTGGATGCGTTTTTGACTGTCATGACTGGATAGGGGTGCTACTGGTATCTTGTGGGTAGAGGCCAGGGATGCTGCTAAACATCCAACAATGCATAAGACAGCCCCCAAAATTAGCTAGCCCAAAATGTCAGTAGTGTTGAGGCAGAGAAATCCTATGCTAAATCTTATTACAAAGTTGTCTACTGAACTTGATTTCCACCGAGGGTCAGCAAGGTTAAAACGTGGCAATGTTCATATTACAAGACCTCCTTTGCTATATTTTCAAGTCTAATCTTCTTATTTAGTCTTTCATAGTAACAGAAACAAGTCTTTGGCCTCATATTACCAAGATGGGGTCTTCTGACATGCAATGCCTTGGTCTCTTTCATAATACTTAATAAAAATCACCTTTCTTACTATCTTCTCTATTAGTATGTGGGCTATGTCAGGATACTAACAAAGCCAAACAGTACACAACCTAACCACCAGTCCTGTTCTCAAATATTTATTAAAAAATTTATTAATCTGGATTTTATTCACTAATGACACATTAGTGATCTAAACAGCTGATAAATTTAGCTGTTCATTCTAATCAGGACACTGAAATAATATTCATCAACTCTATTTTCCAGGTGTCTTCAAATCTCTTTCCACGAGAAAATAATAAAGTACATGAAAGCTATTTCAATCTATTACTCTACCTTTGATAAAAAAAAAGTATAAAATTTTAGTATCACCCAGTTTTAATGTTTATCTTTGAAAAAACCTGTATTTTTATTCTTTACCTACAATGGTCTCTTAAACTAAATAATATACTAGTGAATACTGATATAACATGACTTCCGTAGCACAAATATTATCATGGTCAAGTTATCCCCCTCAAATGTGAGGGCCTGAAATAAACAGCCCATTAATAGATACCCTGTTTCTAATAGTAGTACCTTGAAGGGTGCCATCTACTTACTTTTTTAAAAAATATATTACTAGCTGCAACGATGCAACGCTGCCTTCTTTTAAACCCCTTGGACATTTTGCATATATCACTCAGTTTGCAGGACTCGAATTGGGCTTAAGACTTAATGACCTGATCATGTAGAATTCTTTCGGATGATCCTTTTTATAAAAAAGAATCTGAACATTTGATATATATTGAACATGGAAGGTATTGAGAAATGTTTAAACACTCCTGCCTCTCTCACCTTCCTCCATTTCTTATCACACACTAAATGAATGTTATCTCCAGAGATTTTTAAGTAAATTCTAGAATGATCTGAACCAAGTCACATTTTTATAAGCATGGTAAAGAGCTGGATGACTATTTCAAAGTCCCTTCCAACGCTAAATTCCAGGGTGAAAAACCTAACTCTGACCACTGGTGGTAAAGACAAATATTTTTATCCACATTACATAATTTTAGGACCTCCAGATATTAAATCAAGATTATCTAAAACACCTGAGTAACTTCTTACCCAGCCTCATCGGCCATTTCTTGAAGCAGCATATCCACTTGGCTCTAGAATAAGAATATGAAAATTTGTATTTTAACGATAATTTCTTTTTGGGTGGTTTCTCTTTCTGATTTTGCTTTAAAAAAGGGAACAGAAAACTTAAAATATTTGACTTTGGGTGGCAAATACACAATGCAATATACAGATAAAGTATTATTGAATTGTACACTTGAAACCTATATAATTTTATTAACCAATGTTACCTCGATAAATTTAATTTAAAAAAGAAATATGATGTAAAAAAATATACTGTTTACCACTAGAGAGAGTTGAATTATTTCAGAAAAGATTTCTGAATAATGTTAAATGATAAAGCCTTTTTAAACTTTAAATTATGGAATTATGTGAAAAATATTAGCAGCGATATTCACATATAATTTGAACCTGGGTAATACAGCTCTCCAACCAATATATAAAGCTCTTTTCTAACCCACTTTACTTGTATTTAAAGTGTAATAAATTTAAATTTTAGATTAATAGTTGTTCTTTCTGCTAGTTGATACAAATTTGATATTAAGGATTACTCTAAAAATATCTAGAGGTAAATAAAATATAAGTATATTGAGATATTTACTACAGTACAGGAGTTCTCAGGAAATAGAGTCTGAATAACTTAAAAAACTCATTTTTAACTTAGTGGTTAAAAATAGTTTGGACATACAAGTGGGAGTTCTAAGATGTAGTCCCAGCTCTACCATGAACAAGGTTTATGGTTTTAAGTAACTCACTAACCTTGCTGTTGGGCTTTAGTTTCTCTTGTGCTCTTTAATTCATTTTAAAAACATTTCCAAAATGCAGAAAAAGTTCAGAAAATAATAGATTGCTTATGTGTATTTACATTTGTGTTGTGTTTATTTTATAGCTAAAATAGCATTATTTGTTTTTAAAACTTACTTAAATAGTATTATACTATGTATACTATTCTGCAACTTGCTTTTCTTATTCAACCTTGTAAGATGTAATGATATTGAGAGCTAGAGATTTAGTTCATTCACATTTGTTCCTGTATAATACTATAGAAATACACTCAATTTTATTTATCCATGAATTTCTAGACATTCAGACATTTTCCCTAACTTCTCCCAATTATAGACAATGGTTCAATGACTATTCTGTGTATAAGTATCTTTGTACACACATAGGGGTTTCTTTGTGTATAGATTTGGAAGCAGAAGCACTAGATTATAAGTTACATCCATTTTCACATACTCTGATTTATTCAACAAATATTGAGGACATACTTCATACTGGATATTGTTTTAAGTGCTAGGAATGCATCAATGAACAAAAATGATAAAAATCTCTGCCTTCATTAAGCTTACATTCTAGTGTGTGCATGTGAAAAGTAGGGAGGGCAAATCAAATTTTTAAAAAATTATATGGTATATTAGATGGTGATAAGTACTATGGAGAAAACTAAAGCAGGGATATAGGGAATATAGGGAATGATGGGTGTGTTATTGATGTACTTTTAAAGTTGGATGGTCAAGAAGACCTCATTGAGAAAATGACATCTGGACAAAGAACTGAAGGAGGTGCGGAGTAGGCAATGAGGATATCTGCTAGATGGAAAGAAGAAAATTCAAGCAAAGGAAACTGCAAGAGGAGCAGTTTTGAAGCAGAAATGTACTTGGTGTGTTTGAGAAAAAATGAGGCCAAGTGTCAGAATGGAGTGCTGAACGGTAATAGGAGGTAAGGACAGAGAAGCAGAGAGAGGAAGATTCCATAGGGCATTACAAGGCCTTTGGAAAGAATCTGGCTTTTATTTTGAGGAAGATGTGGAGCCACTGGAGGGTTCTGAGCAGAAGAGTGACATGATCTGACTTGTATAACAGGATCACTCTGGCTTCTATGTTAAGAACAGATTGTAGATATTACCAAATTGGTTTTCCAAGTATATATGCCAATTTAAATTTTAACTACTCATTAGCAGGGTATAAGAATGTGGGCTACTAAGTGTGTTCAACCAGACCTCTCTCCAGATGTTTTAAGTTTCAATAGTTTTTATGAAGAATGTTTTGTATATATTTGAATGCCTCCAGCACATAGCACAATATCTGAAAAAGGAGAAGGCATATACCAAATGTCGAGTGAATGACTCTCAAGATTTTTCAGAGATAAAAGGCATTTAGACATCGGATTCAACTCCTACATTTTGCAGCTAAGGACAATGAGGCCCAGGGCAGTAAATATCTTAAGGTCCCAAAGATAATTAGTGGTAGAGTAGGGATTAGAAATCCAAGTGTCCTAACTTTAGTCATTTTTCCAATTCACTCGTGTTTCCTGAACTTGACTGATAAAATCGCCTGAGGAATCACTTAAAGTGCGTGAATAAGAATCAGAAACTCTAGAATACTGCTTCTCAAACTCAATGCATAAAAATCACCTGGGAATCTTATTAAAATAAGTCTGATTCTGTTTGTCTGTGGATGGGGTCTAAATTTCTGCATTCCTAATGAACTTCCAGATGATACAGATGTACTTAATTCTTAAGCCACATTTTGGGGATCAAGGCTCTGGAGAAGGTAGAAAGGTAATTGCTAAATATATGCTCACTATAAGACATAAATGTAAATTCTTTCTTATTAACTATAAAACGTGAATATAAGCTTGTTCTCTTATTTATCTATTTGTGAAAAGAGTTATCTGCAGTAAAATACTGATGGATGGTTGTTGATTTCTTCCCAACACATTTTGTAAATGATATTTTTTCCATATTAGCATCCAAAGTAGTGGTAACAAGGTCTTTGCTCATTTGATTAACCATGTGATAGGTACTGGGATCAAAGAGAAGAGTGATAAAGAAATTTTCTATCTGAAGATTTAAATTTCACAAAACTGTTTTTGGCTCATGTCAAATGCAAACTAGTTTCATATTTTAATTTTCTCTGTAGCACATCTATAAGTTGTAGATTTAGTAAAACATCCTAGTTTTCTGAAAAATAATTGACCTTGTGATTTACTATTTGCTCACCCATAACTTGTGCATAAATAACACCTAAGGAGTAGGGAGGAAGCAGAAAAATATTTGCAATAAGATGAATTAGCTGAGGCTCAAGATAATACCAAATACCCACTGGCCTCACTGAGCCTCTAGTGCAATGCCTTCATCAATAAGGACCGTCAACAGCAAGGTAGAATCAAGTTCCAAACACTCTTAAGACATGTGACCTAGTATAATTCTTAGCGCTTCAAAACAAGATAGGGAATGTCATCTCCAATACGTTCTCAGGAATCCAGGGGAA